TCCTTTGCGACTCCGACGATTCGTCCTCTGATGACGAGGAGGAGATATTGGTTGTCGTGTTGGTCCATCACCACCTCAACAGCCAGCGGCCATTGTTCCGTGGCTCCATTCTGGGCCACCTTCCGGCGTTGAATCACAACCGAGAGAGCGGGCATTTCCTTCTTTGGAAGGACTACTTTGATACAACAAATCCGTTGTTCAAACATCAGAAATTCCACCGCCGTTTTCGTATGAGTAGGCATCTTCCATATTAGAGAGGGGGTAGTCGGCTACGATGACTATTTCGAGTGCAAAGAGGATGCCGTTGGCAAGATTGGTTTTTCCTCTTATCAGAAATGCACTGTCGTCATCCGAATGCTTGCATACGGGGTGCCTGGTGATCTCATTGACGAGTACGTTCATATGAGTGAGTCTACTTGCCTAGAGTCCTTGTATAAGTTCTGCAAGGTTGTTATTGTTGTGTTTGGCACTGAGTACTTGAGAGAGCCGACTGCTGAAGATACAACACGTTTGTTGGCAATGAATGCCAGCAGGGGCTTCCCAGGGATGCTTGATAGTATAGACTACATGCATTGGGAGTGGAAGAACTACCCTTATGCTTGGCAAGAGCAGTATAAGGGCCATGTCAGGGCTTGCACTGTCATACTTGAGGATGTGGCGTCTCAAGATCTCTGGATCTGGCACTCTTTCTTTGGCATGGCCGGATCACACAATGATATCAACGTGCTTCAGCGCTCGCCGGTGTTTGCCAGGCTTGCCGAAGGCAATAGCCCACCAGTGAACTTTACTGTCAATGGCCACACCTATGACAAAGGATACTATCTGGGTGACGGTATCTATCCTCAGTGGACCACTATTATCAAGACAATACCCAACCCTGTCAGAGAGAAGAGGAAAAGATTTTCCCAAGAGCAAGAGAGTGCTAGGAAGGATGTCGAGTGTGCCTTTGGTGTTTTGCAATCTCGATGGGGCAACGTTCGGTATCCTGCTAATACCTGGAGCACACAAAAACTATGGGAGGTGATGACTGCTTGTGTGATCATGCATAATATGATCGTAGAAGATGAGCGCCCAGAACGTCTGTATGATCAAGGTTTCAGTTTTAGGGTGAGAATGTTGTGCCTGAGCATGGAGTAGCAGCAACGTTTGAATAGTTCGTCCAATTTCATCGAGACATGCGTGATTGGGAAAGTCATGTGCAACTGTAGATGATTTGGTTGAGCATATGTGGGCTCATGTTGGCAAACAATAGATGTATCTTCTTTTATTCGTTTGCAAAACTATGTGAGAACTATGTGAGACCTTTTTATTTTCATTTGTCTTGTAATAAACTACGCTATTTTATTCAGTCCAAAACGTCTTTATTTTGAACTATGCAATCATACAAAAAAAGGAGGGCAGGCAGCCACGCCGGCTTATAAAGGTCAGCGCGTTGGGCGCCTGCCGACCCATATTTAAAACATGACGGATGCCGGGCGGGCGGCCGACCCAAACGGATAAAAAACGGACGAAATGGTCATCCGTTTGGGTCGCCCTATTGAAGTTGCTCTTAGAGATGCAAAAGCAAATTGCACAACACAACTCGCGGTGATGGGTGACGGAACGTGTGCTAAAAGAGGTGATGGGTGATGGAACATGTGCTAATAATGGTGGAAGCAATCAAGTACCGATGGATGACAAGATAGGATCGGGATGCTCCTGTCTAGCGGCAAGAAGCTGGGACATGGGGTGCATGTGCAGCTCGCTCAGGCGCGTGTGCAAAACTGAATACACCCGAAAAGCGGTGAACGACGCGGATGTATTGGTGTGGCGCGCAGAAGGAAGATTTGTTTTTCGTTTACCTATTCAGATCATGGACGAATTCGCGACGGAAAATATTGTGCACAAAATCTGTTGCTATACGACGTAAATCTGGATGATTGATGGAAGAAACACCTTCTAAACGATCAAAATAAGGTAAAGCTTGAAGATAAGTTTTGTACTCGATTAATTTCTCAGTCCCTCTAGTCGGGTGGGCGCCGGCCAGCCGGATGCTCCTGAAAACGTACATGCGGGTCTCCCCGCATGCGGCTCAGGCCATTTGAGGTGGCCCAGCCCAGAGCAAACAACGTGAGACATAGATAACGAAACAGTAACTCCATCCCTTGACACTAATTTCTGATACAAAAGTGGAATCAAAAAATGCGGGAAAAATGGAATGACTGGACGTAAAGGGTACGTAGGCGGTGAATCGGGTTGAAAGTGAAAGTCGCGAAAAAGTAGGCTTTGCTTCACTATATAGCATGGGACGAATTGATAAGCTCTGAATGCAGGAAGGGAAACCTTGGAGCTTTCTTTGCTTGTCTTCCCGCTCTTATGAAGGCGGCGGAGATACCTTAGACTTTGAACCAAACTCTAGGGAACACGACACTTGGTGGACAGTCTATCTGCTCTTAAGTGGTATTACCAGCCATTCTTGAGAAGCAGTTGATTTAGACCTTCCAGCATCACTTAAACACCGCGGAACGGATTTTGACCAGCTAGTCAGATTGCCCCATTACAGGTGTTTTACGCCAGAAAGTTCCTCTGTAAGTTTTAGTAAGGCCAGTTATGGGAAGTAGGCCATGGAGAAACAAAGGATAATTCAATCTAGTAGAGAATTTTCTCTCGGACTAATCTAGACCAGCACTAGCATTAGATGAATGCAACCAAAAATTCAATTACACAAATACTAGATGCAAAAACTGCTAAAGGTTAAAAAGATGGGTGCAGCGGATGAACTAATCTAATTTTTTGGCTTTTTTTGGGTTGTAGAATTGAAAAACAATCTAACCTAATAAAATTGTAAATCTCTCACCGATGAACCTGAAAACTGATACCACTTGATGTGAATTGGGGACCCGATCTTTCAATGAGAGGGGATAACAATAATTTTTGTGGGACTTAACCCTCACGATCCGGCTACCAACCGTACAGAGAGAACCATACATGACTGATATCCACGACAATTGCCGAACCAACTCCGCGACGTTATCGACCGGGCCAACGGCACGATCGACCTATCCACGAAGGATTTTTCCTGCAAGCAAGTTAAAGAACATGCAAGAAAATAATAGCAAAGCAATCTGAAATTGCGAATATGCTAGATGGAATAATCTCACAAAATGAGGTTCCGATAGGATGTCTTGACGGTCGCACTAGCCACTACGAGCGAAGACAAATAAAAGTAGCAATATCTAAACTTCTCTAAACAAAACCTTAAATCTAAACCCTAATTTTAGCTAGCTATTTATTAAGAGGAGTGGCGGCCGCGTTGGGTCCTTGTTTATGAAACGCAGGTCGTATGGAGTCCAACTTCTGCACGCCTCAGTCGGAATTGATGTTTCCTTCGGTTGACAAGATGTGTGGCCCCAACGTGATGTACATGAGCATCGTAGCATGCAAGGCTGGCTCCTCCTTCCATCTTTCTGTCGCATGCATGTAGAGGAGCATTTCCTTGGCTACATGTGCATGGTGCACTTGTATAGCTCGTGTAAACTTCAAGTGCATAATCTTTCATCATGATATTTATTTTGCAAATGCCTTCAATAATCCTAAGTAATGTACGTGCACCTAATATCTTTGCTGGTATTTACATAGGTAATGTCCTCATTACCGGTGCACTCAGAATCTCTTTCGGTGTCTGAATATCATAGTCCTATATATCAATCTTTACCTCCGGACGATTTTGGAGCTTCTCGCCATGTCCGTGATTTCATCTGGTACTCCAAACAACATTCGTCACCAAATTATATAACTCATATAACACTATATCGTCAACGAACGTTAAGCGTGCGAACCGTACAGTTTCAAGAAATATGTAGACATGACCGAGACACATCTCCGGTCAATAACCAATAGCAAAACCTGGATGCCCATATTGGTTCCTACATATTCTACGAAGATCTTTATCGGTTGAACAGTTATGATAACATACATAATTCCCTTTGTTTGTCGGTTGTTACTTGCTCGAGATTCGATCGTCGGTATCTTCATACCTAGTTCAATCCCGTTACCGGCAAGTCTATTTACTCGTTCCGCAATTACATCATTTTGTAACTAACTTCTTAGTCATTTGCTTGCAAGCTTGTTATGATGTGTATTATCGAGAGGGCCCAGAGATACCTCTCCGATACTCGGAGTGATAAATCTCAATCTCGATCCATACCAACTCAACAAACACCTTCGAAGATACGTGTAGAGCATCTTTATGATCACCATGTTACGTTGTGACGTTTCATAGCACACAAGGTATTTCTACGATATCCGGGAGTTGCATGATCTCATGGTCGAAGAAACATGTATTTGACATTCAAAAAAACAGTAGCAATAAACTAAACGATCATATGCTAAGTTAACGGATGGGTTTTGTCCATCACATGATTCTTCTAATGATGTGATTCCGTTATCAAATGACAACACATGTCTATGGTTAAAAAACCTAAATCATCTTTGATCAACGAGCTAGTCTAGTAGAGACTTACTAGTAACACGATATTTGTTTGTGTATTCACACATGTATTTAAGTTTCCGATCAATACAATTCTAATATGAATAATAAATCTTTATCATGAAAAAAGAAATATAAAATAATAACTTTATTATTGCCTCTAGGGCATATTTTCTGACGGACTTTCTTCTTCCTGATGGGCCTGGTTGGGTTAGATGCGTCTTGGGCCTTTGGGTAGCTCTTTTTCTCTCTCCGGCGGCGACCACGGCGAGTTAGGGGGCCGACTATGTGGTCGAGTCGGATTTGGTGTTCTTCCGTATCCTGTGTGGATGCACTCATAGTGTGTATGTCTCCTTGTAATGTTTTCCTTATAGCATGTAGTAATATAATCTCGAGTATACTACAGTATTTCACTAAAAATAATCCGTAAATCTTTCCCAACCCAACGCGCCGCTGCCAACCATCACGAACCGAAAACCGACTGCCGACACAACGCGCCGCCGCCGCCGCCAAGGGAACCCCTGGCGTTGCCATGGCGCCAACGGAGAAGCGATCCTGCCGCGGATCAGGGGAAACAACGGGTTCGCCTCACGCCGCCCGCCACCCCAGCCCTTGCACGGAGCACCTCCATGATACGCTGGAGGAGGTGGAGGTAGGCGAACTCGACCCCCATGGCCAGCCGGCGCGCATGGTCACCGGTGCGTACAATGTGCACACTCCTTTACTTCACTTTATTTATTCACGCTCCATCAGGAAGGTTTCGGATGGATCTTGCTTGAGCTGATCAATTACTTTGATGTAATTGCACACATTCAGATCCTGGTCAGGTTGCCTGGCATGCTCTGGACCTCAAGTTCCCACGGGAGCAGAGCGAATCAGACTGGAGCGACTGGAGCGAGGGCGATGGCCGAGTGATTGAAGGGGAGGAGAAAGATTGCCCAGGTATCCATTTGTGCCTCCAGATTAAATTTCCCCGAAATTTCAACCATGAATAAGTTAACTTCCTGGGATTCCACACTAATTCTTCAGGGAATGAAGTAGTCGATAGCGATGATGATGACGACAACTGCAATGGCCAACTCGTTTACAAGGACAAAAAACCAAACACGAAGATAATCTGCCCAGGTATCTAATTCTCTATTCAGTTGAAAACAAAACTCGTGACCACCCACAGATCATCTGCCGATCTATGACACAATGATTCTCCAGGAAAGCTCTATCCTGAGAGCGAAGCAGAGGAAATTGAGCAGGAATGGATTGAGAGGTACTGCAAGCAGATGGGAGAATACTCGAAACTGTTTGATGACATTCTGGCCCGGGAGCACCACGACGATTCTACTACTTTGCCTCCTTTTCCTATGAAACTGCTCCCTCCCACAACATCTCTATGCTTCATGGAGGGGTACTGCTACCACAGTGTTTACAAGACCCATGATACTTCTACCAGTAAGTGCCACTCATTCCTAGTAGAGTAATATGTTTTTGTGCTGTCTGCTTAACAACTCACTCTGGTTCCTAATATATATTTGCAGCTCCATCAACTCTTGGATATCGCACACCACAACAGATGCTACAGTTCTTTTCAATGAGGTTACCAAGCTCTGGGCTCTCCTATCCCATTAGTGTGTATGGAATACTTGCTGTTCGCGATGACTTGGACCAGCGACGGAATTACCTCTTTAACTGTCCTAGAGATACTGCTGTAGAGATTGTGAATCAGGTAAATAAAGCTTGCTTTGTTTACAAAATTGCTGGATGCTGACCTATGATGTTCAACAGCTCAACTCTATGATATTTTATGTCAGTCATCTAAGTTGATTTGTTTTGGATCTATTTATTATTTGCCTGGGTCCATTAAATGATCTATGAGATGAGCTGCATCTTTTGTAAAAATAAATAATCAATGGCAAGCATTTGCGCTGTTAAGAAGCACTGCCATTTAACAGATCACATTAGTTTTTATATGATGTGCGTACTAATACAAGTACATACAAATCGTCATCTGGTTAATATACTTCAGTTTAGCACTTTATCTATTTCTTTTCACAAGTCATGAGTTGACTGCTTGTGTGCATTAAGATAGTTATAACTTTAATCAGCAAGATACTAGGCGTCTGTGGTTACTAATTGTGATTTTCCCTGTCTTAAACTTTTGGGAACGAGACATGGTAATAATATGGTTATAACTTAAACCAGCAAGCTTTTTGTGTATGATAGCGAGGTACCCATTCTTTTGGGACTGAGAGAGGGGTTATAATGTGTGTGAATATTTTGTACCCATTAATCTTTAAGCTGCCGAGATGAATGGGGTCAAAGGGATAAAATGACATTAAAGTCACATGCTTGCTTCCTTTCACCCAATATTTGATTTAGACGGACACGCATGTCTTATGTGAGTTTGTTCTGTTGGTACAGTACTAATGTACTCCCTCCGTTCTTAAATATAAGTCTTTGTAGAGATTTTACTATGGACTACATACGGAGCAAAATGAATGAATCTACACTATAAAATGCATCTACATACATCCGTATGTGGTTCATAGTGGAATCTCTCCAAAGACTTATATTTAGGAACGGAGGGAGTATATCTTTGAAGGTTGATGTAGCTTGTTGGGTTCTAATAAGATATCAAATTGCAGGAATCCTTTGACTTGCCTCTTTGTAGCCCGTGTCGAGGAATATATGTACTGGACGAGGCACTACTAGAAGTTGATCTCTGGGTAAAGAAGGAGGGGAATGGATCAGCTGACAAGCATATACTTTCTGCATATGCTGAGATTGAAGTCCGTGCAAATTTTGATATTATGCTGGGTGGTCGGATTCCTGGTGTTGATTGCAACTTGGACCTGAAATACATGATCATTGCACGAAGTATTGAGGCGGTAGTACAAGTCTATGCAGAGGTTGACCATCCTCATCACGTGAAGTTCACTGCTTTAAGCACTGGCTATGACGATGAGATTGTGCTGTTTGATGACAAGATATCTGGGAGTGTGAAACTGTTCCAACATATTGTCGCGGTTAAGAGAAATGAAAATTTGGATGTTCTTCTAAGAGTCGATGAATCGCTGTTTCAGTGGACTTTTCATGATGAGTATGTTGGACCCGTCAGTTCTCCCGATGACTCAATCCTTCAGTATGGCCAGTTTTTTGTGAGGGTGCTTTTTGCTCCAAAGAACTCTGCATGAAGCCCACCGCCGGCCTCCTGCAAACTGCGATTAAGTGAAGACTCAGTTCTTCAGCTTGGCCAGTTTCTTGTGAGGCTGCTCCAAAGAACTCCACATGAAGACCATCGCCGGCATCCTGACAAACTGCGGTTTAAGTGAAGGCCTGAAGGTGTCCTGTGCCTTCTACTCCCTCCGTTCCTAAATATTTGTCTTTCTAGACATTTCAAATGACTACTACATACGGATGTATGTAGACATATTTTAGAGTATAGATTCATTCATTTTGCTCCGTATATAGTCACTTGTTGAAATGCCTAGAAAGACAAGTATTTAGGAACGGAGGGAGTACTACTTAGTATAGCATTATAGTCCAGTGTGTTAAGTTAAACCACTGTAAACCTGAACATGCTCAATGTGTGCATATTCTCTGCCTGCCTGCTATTGTGTTTTTGACTTGTATCATCCAGTGGTTGTGATGCTGTCGTTGAAACCTTGGCATGCACAATTTGCCAATTTGGTCAGCACAAAGTGTGTTTTGATGTTGGTATGAGGCAGGCAAAGTGAAGGCTGAAGGTGTCCTATGCTGTTCTAGACTTCTGCTCAGCAGTATTATACTACCTCTGTCCCAAAATATAATAACATTTTTGACACTATGATAGTGCAAAAAATAATCTTACATTTTGAGGCGGAAGGAGTAGTAGTTTTAACCGTTGTAAACATGACCATGCTCTAAGTTCTATGGATGCATATTCTTTGCTTGTTGCTGTTTTGTTTTTGACTTTTAATATGTAATATTTTCATTCTAATTTTGATACATCATCCGGTGGTTGATGATGCTGCCGTTGAAACTTTGGCATATCCACAGTTGGCCAATTTGTAAGCGCAAAGTGCGTTTTGATAGGCAATCGCTCGCTTTAAAAAATTCCCAACTAAGACATCCTCGACGCTGTTCATCAGCGGGGCGGCCAATCGGCCATCTAACCCTATGCATCAAATATTTGCTCTATTTTTTTAACCTGTCACAATAGGGTAAAACACCACGGAGCTCTTCATTTTATTGCAATGAACAAGGTACACTATGTGCATGACCCAAGGCCAAAAAAACACAAAAGGAAAACATTTAGAGGCATTACATTCTACTCTTTTTTTCCTTGACCACTTCTGAATGCAATTTGAGCTTGAACGTTTTCGGATGTGCCCACCTGCTCGGCCCTAGACAGGACCGCCTCATAACGGCGCCAATGCCCAATGGGGCACATGGTCTACTCGGCCATGTTGTATTGCGCACAGTTACCCGACCTTTAGATCCCGCGATACCCAAAAGTCGGACGAAAAGACAGTCGGCCATGACCTAAGCCGACAAGCGGCCTGGACCATTGTAGTTGCTGTTCGCATTCACTGGATTAGCCATGGAGTCAATAAACGCCCGGCCTCGATGAAATATTCTTCATTATAGACAGACGGGAGCCATGCCCGACTTTGGATGGACGGCTTCCACATTAGTGCCGAGTACTAGTCCATGGACGAATTTAAGGTTTATTGGAGATGCCTAATACACTATGCTTCATCTCTACTCCTAATGTCTCAGTTGGTAGGTTGCGTTCCGGGTTTTATTTTCGTCCCACCTCATCCGATTTTTTTTGGTACCTCCTCCCACCTCACCCTGACCCGCCACCAACCGAAAAAACCACGTACCGAGTCCTCCACCCACCCCCGCGCTCTTCAGGTCGTAACAGCCGATTGCGCCCGAGACAAGCGTCGAAGAAAAAATCTACGTCGATTAACCAACAATAAAAAACCTGCGAAAATTAACTAGCGAAAAAAAACCAGCGAAAGAAAACCCGCACGTACGAGAGCGACGTCACATGCCCTCGATGTTTAGCCTTGCTAATAGAGAGTCATCTCTTTGGTAATACTTCTCAAAATTATTTAGACTTGCTAATAGAGCATTCGATGTTTAGCTTCTGCCAATCTGTACATTCTGTTCTTAGATTTATTTTCCCTCAATACCTTGTTTAGTACAAGGAAGGACTGATATTATTCCCCAGCCAGGGTCGTTGATTATTGTTTATTTTATCATAGTTCAGTGTTTTTCATCTGAAAATAGATTCAAATGTGTACAGAGTAAGGGTCGTTAAATTTTTATCTATAGTCCTTCATCACCATCATCGAGCCGCTGGAAGGTGGGAAGCAGAGAGGATGTGTCATAGGAGGATTCCATCAGATTAGTTAGAAATTAGAATGCCGCTCAACCTAGCATTAAGGTTGGTTGAGCCTGATGCACTAGCACATTGGATTAGTTGAAAATCAGAATGTACGATTAATTATTAGAGAACTATACATGCAGATTACTCATGTGTGTCTCGGTACCATGATTGCATCGGAAACACGTTAATTATGTAAGAGACGAATAGGAGTAATGACATCATAGCTCGGGCGTCTTGGGAGGAAAGTGGCGTCGGTGGTGCTGAGCCAGAACAAGTTCACCGGCTCTCCTTCTACCTGCTGGAGCATATGGACGTGTCACGGAACCCCTTCGTCGGGCCGTTCCTGTTGGCGCTACTGTCTGTCCAGTACCTGAGCATAGCCGGCAACGGGTTCACCCAGGCGCTATCCGACAAGGGGTCCTGCTGGGACAACCTCCGGCTTGTCGACCTGATGGGGAGCATCCCTCCCCCCACTATCGCCATCCTATCCAACCAGCCGCCAAGCATCTACTACTGCTCCCACTGGATATGTAACCCATCTGACTCCCTTCGCTTCCTGTTCTTCCCTTGATATTATCAATTTGTGTGCAAATGCTCTTTTTCAGTAGCTTAGTTACGGACTCTGATTTTATTCTTGTTTCATGGAGGCACTTATATATGAATAGCGTGCATACATCTGCACAACTGCATAACAGTCACAAATGATTGTTTTGTGAATCTGCAGAGAATCTAATTATCCATGTATCGGCAATAGCCAGATTAATTTGTTTACCCAAATTATCAAGGTGAATTCCCTGTTCTCGTTTTCTCAAGTCGATGATGCATGCCAATATCCTACCACTTTACATTCGCTCTCTTTAAATCACTCATCTCTTTGATCAGGAAGCATCTTGCTATGATCAATAAAGACGGAAAAACAGTGCACACAATAGATGAGTGGCCGAGTACAATGAACTTCTTTTATAGTCATGGATTATTCATGTGTTAAACAAGTTCTGCTCATCGATTAGTTATTATCAAACATGTGGATTATGTTTTTACTATAATTTATGATTTAATTTGTACCTTGCAAACTCGGCAAGTAAAAATATCACTTATTTAAGAGCCGAGAGAGTGTTGTTAAAATGTGTCTGGTTACCTTTTAAATGTTTTACAAGATTCAGCGATATATGAGTATATTTCCATGTCTACTTGATTTCTATACAGAATATGGAACCAGATGTAGTGAAATATTTGCATACCATGTCTGGATTCAGCAAGCTATTTACTGATGGCTGATTTTTAAGGATGTCTTATGAAGTTGTGATTCTGCGAGGAAAAGCTCGTGAGTGGAATTATTCAGTATGGTGCTTGTGATGTTTCCTTCATAGCTCTTTTACAATCAGCCATTACTCTATTATTATTCGTAAATGGTCCTCTAAATCCTAAATACACAATAGATTTTTTGTTGCATTCATTTGTGTGTTACAATCTATTTCTTTCATATTTTTTCAGCTGTTCCATTATATATATTCACTTTGGAAGGCAAAAATTATATGTTGGCTGGTTGCCCGAGAAATTAAAAAGGCTAAATCTTGAGTTGTATGGAGCATGGTCATTTGCTTGAAGTTTCCAATGGACTGTATATACCATTGAATGAGAGGAATTATTCCATGAGTGTGGACAAATTGAGCTGATCGATTGATTGAGAAAATATTGTGTGGATGTTCTCAGATCTCCTTGCTCCACTACTCCTTGGATTATTACCTTTGTTCATATATTTTGGTTTATCTGAGCTGAAGGTAACCTTCTTAAACTATCCATAAAATTAGTTCAAATTATTAATTAATTGTTTGCTTAATTGTGTTGTCTATCTATTCTTTTGTACATAGAAGATATAACCTCCAAATCTGCACATGCTTTTGCCAATGTATCCATCCTGATATTTCTTATAATGTGGAAGTTATCAGAGCCCTTTTTTAAGCATCCACTTTGAGTTCACCGGTGGCAGGTAGCTTGTACAATACTGAATTTTCAAGGTAACAAAATCGGTTATGCGTTGCAGCAAAATCGAATGTGGTAGAGAAAATATTCAGGCTTCGTAGCGAAACAATGTCTCTGTTAGGATAGTACACCCAGATCCCCGATGCATTTGGTTTATTATGATGTATTGATACTGAAGTTTGTACCATATCTTGAGAATTATGATTTCAGCAGTGATAATATACTCTAGATAAAAGGATGGACACATAAGCTTGGGACATGATTGTGGCCGCTGTACTTCAAGAAGGTGCGGAGCTACGGTGAGCAGCAGGTTGCATCGTCATGGTGGTCACCCTCGACCACGATGGTGTGCACACCTTGGCACCAGGAATTGGCTTGGGACGCCGTGGAGGGAGAGA